CAAAAAGACACTGCATCTCAAAATCATGCCTGATGATGAATAGCTACAATACCTAGCAAGACGGAGAGCTTGGCCTTATCTATTGACCTAGCAGATAAAATTAAGGGTGTTGTCTCTTGTGTCATAACCAGTTTGTCACAAGATCATAAAGCCTAGACTCTTGAATTTCTCATCTGCATTCTATTCTACATCAGTAAGATGCACAGACATAAGAGCCTCAAAGTTACATTGAACCTCACATGTAAAAACTTCCAAAAAGATAGGAAAACTCATGTGTTATAGAACCCCCCCCCCTTTAGCTGAAAACTATCCTTATTATAAGTCCTTCCCCAAACAGAGCCTAAGATTTGTATAGCTGCTAGGCTTTCTCTTGAGCAGCAAAATACTTCCTGTTCTACTTCATTTGAGAGCTTCATATGAGTTGGAATTCTAAAAACTTGACTGCTGATTTTCTCATGAGCAGCACTTTGCAAATACCATCGGAGATTTTGAAGTCAGCTGCACCAAGTCAAAGATCCATGTAATCCTGCACTGAGCATCCAAAGCTCTTTTAACCATACTTTCCTGATTTAAATGAAACTGGAAGCCATAACTTCCTGCTTTGTTTGCCATGGGCCTGCACATCTTCAGCCAAGATATGATCGAAACTCTTCGCTTCTGACTAACAGCGGCCTGAGGCCCACAGTCCCTTGTTGTCAGCTGAATTTAAGCATGAGGAACTGAGATTGACAGATTCATCCATCCCTACCCAAACCTAAACCAACCTTTCCCAACCTCAGGCCCCCATACATTGGATTACATCTCTCAAGATCCCTCACCACTGACCCTGCTTATGAGGGATGATGGGAGTTGTAGTCCAACAAGATTGGGAAAGACGGCTCTAGATTACTTCGCCCTGCAGTTTTGTGTTGGTGTTGAACAGCATGGGGGACAGAATGGACGCCCGAAGCACCTTATAAACCAAATGAGCCCCTGTAGTACCGCCTTCTGAAACTGATTCTCTAAGAAGGACTGGAGTCAACATAATGACATGTTTCCTAAACCCAACTCAGCTGTTAACTGTTCAAAGCAGTAATCAATTTTGCACCTTTGAAGAAAATGCCACAACAGTATAAATGAAATTATATCATCATTGTGCATAGTTATTTTGCTTATTTAATTAGAAGGGGGGAAGAAAAGCTTGTTGCTCTAGAAAGCAGATTACCCTCCATTTTTCTGATTTCAATGGAAATTTAAATTGATGCTGTATGTATATATGAATTGTTTTGCAAACTTCTGCAATCAAAACAGTATGTGATAGGTTGGGAGCTTCATTGCAGGTTGTCTTCTAGGTTGAAAAGGCATTGGGTATTTTTAGTACACACACCCTTTTCTCACTATATTAAAGTATAGTTAAATGTCAAAGCATAAGCCTTGTTATACGAAGTAAGGTCTCTTTCCTGCTGCATGCATAGGACTGGGATGCACAGATAGGGAGGTGAGTCTGAATTTGAGTGGAAGGATACTGTTGAACTGAAATTAGCCTGGTATGCCTAAAGCATCGCCTGTAGTCCTACAGTAGTTTGTTGTTTATAGATGCCCACATAGTTGATTTCCCCCAACATTGAGTGCAGCACACTGACAGCTACCTCGGGTAATTTCTTGTTTTCGTTTACAAACTTTAAAGCAGTCACAGTTCTAAACAATTGCTTTTGGCAAGAGAGCTGGTTTTCTCTCAAAAAAGACATTCAGTATACTTGGAAAGATGATATAGTAAAATAGGTTCATGATTGAATTCTGAATACAATACGTTAGAATTATGGGAGATCCACAGGGACCATGGGAGTCCTGATTGGATAAGAGAAGGTGATGCCTTTCTGAGTTTGTTCTCCCCAAGAGTCATTGCTCTTTAATCATTTTAACTTTAAGAATAAATAATCATAATAAATTAATTATACCCCACCCATCTGACTGGGTTTCCCCAGCCACTCTAGGCAGCTCCCAACAGAATAAAACATAAAATATTAAAAACTTCCCTAAACAGGGCTGCCTTCAGATGTCTTCTAAATCTTCAACTGCCTGACCTTAAGGTAGTGAAATATCTAACACATCTGGCATAAGGTTTAGGGAATACAAAATGTATTGTCACAGCAAATTCATGAACTCAGAGTGGTGCCTGACTTTGGCAGCAGTCTTAATGCCTATTTACCTGGGAGTAGATGTGCCAACTTGAATAAAATATGGGGGGGGGCAGTATTATGCCCTGCATAATTGATCACATGACGTGGTGCATGGACACCATTTGAACGCCAATGCCCATCAACTTGGGGGTGGCTCCCTCAAATATATTTTTTGGGGGGTGAAGCCCCTGGGGGTTGGCTCCTTTGCCTGGGAGTAAGCCCCAGTGAACTCAGCTGAGATTTATTTCTGAGAAGACATGCAGAAGATTGTTCTCTTTCACACATGCTCAAATTCCTGCACAGTCATCAACTCATTTAGTATAAATTAAGCCCCAATCTACAAAACTGAACTATGGCATCCAATTCTTTTCCTTATTATGAGGCTGAATCATAAAACAACTGAAGCAAGGCCCATATTTAAGAGGGAGAGAAATAATTAGTCCTGTTTTTTAAAAGACCCTTTGATTTCCAATTCCAAAAATATTTCTATGAGTGCTTATTTAAAACTGGCCTTTGGTTAGCAATAACGATGAATTTTGTGTTGGGGATGGCACAATGTAAAGACATGTGTTTTACTGTTGGTTATGTATAAATTTGGTGGCATAATTTATTTTATGTTGTACCTCATCCTTGTATCAGCACTGATGAAGAATGGGCTATAAATATTTCCTAAAAATAATAATAAATAGTTCATTAAAAGTGGGCTACAGTATTGATGTCAGTAGCTGGATTTTTTAAAAAAATCAGGAATACTGAAAACCAGCAGTCTTTCTTGAGAGACTTGCTCTTCTAGAGGGACTAGACAGCCATCACTTAGATGGGCCAGTGCTTTTTTTAATAGAAAAATGGTGTTGGTACTCACAATGACCTTGCTTTTCACAATCCCCCCTTTAGCTTCAGTTGCCTGCTTGCTCTCCAAACCCTCCATTTACCTTACTGGAAGACTGGGAGGGGGGTAGTGTTGGTACTGTGTATCGTTGAGTACCGTCAGAAAAATACCGTTGGATGTGACCTTCCAGATGCTTCTGGTCTCCATCTCCCATCAGTCCCAACCAACATGGTCAATCACAAGCATCTGGTGGGGCAAATGAAGTTGTGCTGTTCTCCTCGCTCCTGGGCGCTGCTTACGCTTCCTGGGAGGAAGAGAGGGAGCTCCCCATTGACCTCCAAGGTGATTGTTTGGAAGCCCACCTGTGCTGGCCCTCTGTCTGCTACTGTGGCTGGTGGTATGGTTTGCTGTGAGTTGTATTGCAGCAACATCTGGAGGATCCAAGGACATCTCTGACTTAGAGGGTGACTAGGTCAGTATGTGCGGGGACGCGGGTGGCGCTGTGGGTAAAAGCCTCAGTGCCTAGGGCTTGCCGATCGAAAGGTCGGCGGTTCGAATCCCCGCGGCGGGGTGCGCTCCCGTTGCTCGGTCCCAGCGCCTGCCAACCTAGCAGTTCGAAAGCACTCCCGGGTGCAAGTAGATAAATAGGGACCGCTCGCCAGAGCAGCTTTGTAGATAAAGCGCCTGCCAACCTAGCAGTTCGAAAGCACTCCCGGGTGCAAGTAGATAAATAGGGACCGCTCGCCAGAGCAGCTTTGTCACGCTGGCCACGTGACCCAGAAGTGTCTGCGGACAGCGCTGGCTCCCGGCCTATAGAGTGAGATGAGCGCGCAACCCTAGAGTCTGTCAAGACTGGCCCGTACGGGCAGGGGTACCTTTACCTTTAGGTCAGTATGTATTATAGGATTGCAGCCTGAAACCAACTGTCAAGAAACGTCAACTATATAAGCAATCTCATTATGTGAAGATCACTCTGTGCAAGCAATTATACTTCCAGTGGTAGCTGCTTCAAAAAGGAGAGGGCTGCCCTATCTGCCACCAGTGCAAGTGTTAGGCATTGTTTGGGGAGGGGAAAGTGGAGATAGGTATCTATTAGATGATTCCTGTGATATCAAAAGGGGGCACACCAAAAGTCTGTCCCCAGCCTACCAATGTAATTTTGATAATCTTAGCAATTTAGAAATGTAGTTTTTCTGTTCTCTGGAAAAACTGTTTTTTACAAGAATATATAATCTGCATGTTAAAATCTGCCAGTGCCTGGCGTACTCTGGTCCATGGGGTCACGAAGAGTCGGACACAACTAAACGACTAAACAACAACAACATAATCTGCATTCTTACACCTTTCACCTGCATGAAAATAACTAGTGATTGCCTTCTTTAGCACTGTTCTGCTCAATGTTCCCATATGTCTTGGACTATTATGTCTTTCGGAACCAGAGTCTTCTTAAGAAATAGGCCTGAGTTTATATTAGTGTGGTGCAGTGACTGGAGTGTTAAACAAGGACTGGAGAGACTCAGGTTAAAATCCCCACTTGCTTATGAAACTCACTGGGTGAACATGATCATGAAACTCGCTATCTTGAAGCCTAACTTACTTCACAGGTTTACTGTGAAGATAAAATGGAATTGACAGTCCCTTGTATGCCACCTTAAGTTCCTCAAATGAAAGGCAAGATATAAATGTAATGAATAAAGAAGGTAAGTTATACAGTTTGAGGCTAGTCCTTATGAAGTCTTTATGTATCCAGAATTCTAGTGACAGCAAATTTAAGCCAGGCAATAAAAACTTGCTATCAAAGAAAAACTATATATCAAACGAGACATTTTTCACCAAAGCTATTTAAATTAGAATGGTCATCATCTTCAACAACAACAACGATGTTGATAGCATTCCCTATTTATCTAAGCATTTCTTAATTTCCCACTGTTCGTTTAGCCAATTGAGATTTGGATACATGAGAAACTGGCACAGTATTTTGTTTCCAATGTGTTGTTTGCTTTTAATTCCAGATGACCCAAGAGCCTGCACATCATGCATTCATAATTATTACATGTAAGTTTATTACTCTCTTCCCCACTTTCCCTCTTTACTGAAACACAACAGTGTCTTAGATATTTCAGAGCTAAGCAGGGTGGAATATGCTGTTTGAATGGGGGGTGGCAGCGATGATTAATCTACAGCCCTTCAGATGACGCTGAATTACAGCTCCCATCATCAGTGACTATTGGAAATGCTGGCTCAGGCTGATGGGAACAGTAGCTCAGCAACCCCTGGAGAGCCAAAGGTTAGCATTACATAACCCAGTTGTCTTCAAGGGGGAAGGGGCAAACAGTGGGTGTGATGGACAAGCTCCATTGCTGCACCATCCTGAGCTCTCTGCTGCCTCCCCCTCCCCCTCTTGTAACTGGCAGTGATGTGTAGCATTGTGAAGGCAGATAGGCAACTTCATCCTGCCTGCACTGCTACAGATTTTAACTCTTGGAAGCCTCAGTGAGGAAATGAAAACAGGAAGGGATTTCCAGGACAATTGCTTGAGTAATTTAATCCCCATGACTGCAGCTCAATGGAAATCACACATCATCTGCCATTACAGCTGTTTTCATCACAGACCTGCTTGCACTGCTTCACAGAACCCGGGGACAGAGTCTGAGAAAGGCTCCCTTAACTATTAAGCTACTGTACTTAAAAACATTCCTGAGTATTGCCACCCCTCATTTTAGAGGAGATGCTTGCCACACATGAGTACATTTATGAGAGGATTATGCTTGTTCGTTGCAATTGTTTGATGCACCATTATCCATCCATAATGAAAATTATGATGATCAAAAATGCTTCTCTCCCCCCCAGGTACAAACAGCAATGCTATCGCACTTGTCCTCAGAATACGTACAATGATGAAAAGTCTCTCCTTTGCATAGAGTGTCAGCCAAATTGCAGAAGCTGCGACAAATATGAGTGTTACTGGTGTAAAGAAGGGTTTTTTCTTCTAGGTAAGAAAGGTGACAAGTACGTATTTTACATGGGGAAATGATTTCATGCCTTGCCCAAGAAGGCAAAATGTGCATTCAGTTGAGAGAGACTGGGAAGGGGCAGAAATTCCATTCAGTTCCCATTTCAAGCCAAATCTGTCAAAATTGCTCTTTCTCAAACAATATGAGAACCAAAACATAGCCATTCTTCAAAATTCCCACTTATCCAAATTATACAATGCAGTTCTCCAACCAAACAATGTTTGCAAAATTGTATGTATTAGGAGAAAATATGCATAAGAATGACTCAATATTTGTGAAAATAGTATTAAATAATGCACTATTAGGAGAAATTGCTTGTAAAAATGTGTACATTAGTCAAAACTGCATATGAAAATATGTTTATTAAGAGAAATGTACATTAAAGATCCTGAAGAATTTTCACGAGGCTTAAAAAATGTAGACAACTGAACTGAAGATTAGAAACATGAGAAACTGAGACAACTAAAATTGGCAGATTGTTTCATCCCTAAGGGAGACTAACTACAGTCTTAAATCTATGGGACTGCAGGTTCCCAACCACCTTTTAAAAAGAATGACCCCCAGACATCTGCTTCAATAAGCCTAAAGCATTCAAGGTTAAAATTTCATTCATTTTAATTAAGTGCTTGTAAACGGAGGTTCAGGAAACAATGCCGCTAGAAGCACAAGAGCATCAAACAAAGGTATGTCTTCAAATCTGCACATTTAAACTTTAATCAACTTTGGATTTTAAATGGCAGCAATGAGATTCAGAGACAACCCCCTACTTTTGGGGTAAAGAGGAAATATATATTTATTAACGAAACTCCCAATGAGCCTTTCATTTTAAGCATGTTGATGCAAACTTAATTTGTTCAATATAAGAGATGAATGAATGGCACAAAGTAACTTTAGCCTGAAAATGGTTTCACATCACTTCCATTCTTTGTAGGTGACTTTTTGCAGCCAACATGTAGCACAATCCCCATGCCTCCTATTATGGTGGATGGTTATGAAATTGCAGGCAGGCAAGTATGCAGCCCACACTCCAGAAGTCAAGACTTGTATAGACCTGTGAAATGCACTTTGAACCTTTTATGAGGCTCAGATGTACATACCTTCTCCCCTTATCATAAGTTATTTGGACCTTGTTATCTTATTCAAAGTGGATTCTCTGTGGTCAGAGGTTAAGAAAATCAGGCTTGGGGTATTATAAGGAGGTGGAGTTGTGGCTCTGCTTTACAGTTTTTCAACTTTCATATACTCCAAGCTGCAACAGAGAACCAGAGTGCTCCTGAAAGTTGGCCAGCAGTTGTAAGTAATAAGGTAGAAATTATGCTTAGAGTACTTACTTCTCTAGACTTTGTTTTGGAGGCTGTGTGGCAGAGCCAAAACACAAACCTGGGTATGAGTGTATAGATCTGTAAATTATAACATATGTGGAAATAAAAACATACCACTTTAATCCCTCCACAGAATTCAAATCTAAAAGATATTTAAAATATTAGAACTGCCAGCATTTAAAACACACCAAAGTGCAATGATATCAAAATCTCCACTGTTATAACCAGCAAATGTGACAAAATCCAAATATAATCATGTGCTAAACATGTTTTAACCTTATATATTTATATTTGGGTTTTACCAGATTTCCCAATTAGAAATCTGCACTATAGATATTTCAATATCATTGCATATTGGTATGTTTTAACTTTGGTACTTCAATAACATTGGTACTTCATACAATTTAAACATCTTGCAAATTTGAAATTTGTGGAGAGATTAAAGTTGTGCATTTTCATTTACACACTTCATTCATTGATGAATACACTTTATATATTAATTTTACCGATCTATACACTATACACCCCGTTTTATATTTTGGCTGTGTACTTGAGGTTGGGCTGTGCATCTGCATTCTCTAGTAGAGCTAAACTTTCCTCGGGTGCCCCAGTTTGCTTAGTGGCAATTGAATCACACATTGTTCTCTACTTTCAATGCTCCAAATAACAGGACTTAGCTGGCATCAGTCACAATATGACATAAAGGCTTTTTTATTTTTCCTCCAGATGGGAAATGCGTGAGTGATTGTGGAGCTGGTTACTACAGCGATGAGGTCACAGAAGAATGTGAGCCATGCCACCGGACCTGTGCAACATGCAAAGGGTTCGACTCCAACGACTGTACTAGCTGCAAAGGAATTTTACAGTTACTCCATGGAAAGTGTGTGAACCTCAAAAGAAAGCAAGTAAATAGGAAATTCTGGAATGGTATGTTGCCATGCTTCCTCTGAATTTTTTCCACCATTTCTCTCTGCCCACAACAACTGGGGGGGGGGAAACCTCGTCCTTTTCCAAACTCTAAAATAGATTTTATGTATAGAAATGTAAGTGATTGTATTTATATAGGACCAACATCAACACTTGGCAACTTCTGGCAGTCCACTATCCCAGCAGCGCCCATGACTAACACCAGACCTGAACGCCATGCAAGGGGAAGGTGGATCTGCAGCAAACTGTTATATGAATTACCCTGAATGCCTCAAAATGAGTATCATTCTGTATGTATATACAGAAACTACATCTTCACTAATGCAAATAGAATATTTATATGCATCACAGAAAGAACAGACATACAGTAGTTTCTTATGAATGAAGGTGAACATTTTATGTTAGTATAAAATGCAGTGGGGGGCCGGAACCTCTAACAGGTCAACCCCCCCCCTTAACAGCAGCAACAGTCTCAGAGTGCTTCTTCCTGCACTGCCTCTGGAAGACAGAGGACCCTCTGATCAACATTAGCTCTTCACTCACCACAGCGCTGTTGCATCTACTTTATACCACAGGAGTGACTCTCACTTGACTGAGTTACATTCCCCTATCAACAGTACGTCAAGATTGTTTGATAGTTTAATGTTTTGATCACATCATAACCTGGTTAGGATTTATCCAGGAAAAATAAATGAGAACACATGCACTTGAAAACCACATTCCCTCCTCACCACCACAAACATACAGTACACATTGAGATGAACACAGTTTTGAGCATAATGATAGTAGTAAAGTATTGAATTCAATTGAATTTAGAGTGTAATCTTAATAAAATAAAAATCTTAACAATAGCATTACATGAATAAGTAAATGATAAATCATTAATATTATTGTATGATTGATTAGTACCTAATAATTAAATACATAATAATTAATAAACCCTGACATATTGCACAGTTTTGAGCATAATGATAATTTTAGAAATCTAAGAAAAGTATTGAATTCAATTTAATTTAAGGTGTAATCTTAATAAAATAAAAATCTTAACAATAGCATTACATGAATAAGTAAATGAGAAATCATTAATATTATTGTGCGATTAGTACCTAATAATTAAATACATAATAATTAATAAACCATGACATGTAGCACTTTTCTCTTGCAGCTTTTATTCTGTTTCATAAATATGAATAATGATTATCAATCCTATTTTACTGATAGAGAGACTGAAACTGCATACCTCAAATGGCTTGGGCTCTGCAGACCTGAAAGACCTCTTCCCTTATGTCCCTTCACGATCCTTACGGTCAGCCGAGAACGATCTCTTGTTGGTACCATCCGTGCACCAAATCCAGGCGGAAAGGGCACTTAAAGAGGCGTTCTCGGTGGCTGCTCCACAGTTGTGGAAGTCCTTTCCCCTGGAGGTTCGCCAAAACCCAATTGTCTGGAAACGATGTAAGACTTTAAAAAAATCTAATTTTAAATATTACTATCTACCTTGGGCTTTAATGGAAAGGGTGGGCTGCCCAGTTCACTGAATAAGGTTCCCAAGGGCTGCTTTTCTCTAAAACTGCAATACTATAAACAGGAATTTAAGGGGAAAGTTATCTACCTGAAGACATAACCAGCTGAGTATGGACTCTGAAAGACTACAAGCACAGATGGAATATGCCACCTGTGTTAATTTTGCCATTCTGACTGGAGTAGTAATGATCAGCAAGGAATCAACAGCATCCCTTTAGGACTTGCAAGTGTCAAGTGCACCTGACAGTAACAAAGCTGCCTTGTCCTAATACAGCTAGAAGGTATTTTTGTCTGAATCAGGAATCACATGCCCAAACAGCTTTTGCACATGTGCTTCCTTCCTCATTTAACAGGATACCAGCTTTGCTCACTGGAAAGGCGGTGGGGGGTTAATTAATATGCAGAGCATGGTTATTCTTACTTTATGACATATCTGGAGGAGATACATAATCACTACACAGAGAAACAGCTTGTGATACTGTGTACACAACTTACATTTAAAGGATATCCAAAGCACATGAGCTCCTGCAAAGAATTTTGGGTACTGTGGTTTGTTAAAGGTGCGAAGAACGAGAGCTTTGCGAGGAGAAAACTACAGTTCACAGTACTCTTTGGGGGAACCTATGTGCTTTAAATGTATGTAGCAAGAACTAATGTATGCTCAGCCCAGGAGAAGTGGGGGAAATACACAGGCAAAAAAATACAAAAATCATAGGGAAATAGCAGACACATCCACAACCTGCGTGCATGGTGTATTTATGAGCAAGAGAGATGAGGGAGCAATGCCACTTCCGTGCTTTGCCAGTGTTCTTGGCTCAGCCTCCCTGCCATGGGAGAGAAGGGGCAGAATGCAGTGGCTGTGCATATATTTCTGATGTTGAAACACTGTGTGTGATCCTGCAAAGCAAAAGGGCATTCACTTCCCTTGCTTTCCTGCACAGTGTGCTCTTTTCTAGCACCCCAAGTTGTTGAAGTGGACTTAAGTGTTGGAAGTTTGTGTCTGGAGTATCAAGGCTGAGTTCTAGACAGAGAAATGTTAGCAACAAATTCAAGTTTCTGCACATGTTTTGAAGCCAAGCAAAGTGTTCATCTGTGATCAAAGTGCCCCTTTCCCAGAGCTCCCCTGTGTTCCCTGTGATATTGAATGCTAAGTGTGTGCAACATAAGGGAACCACTTAGGGACAGAGGCCCATGCTGCACAGCTTATTATGGGCTCCTTGTGTGGGGTTTATATATCAATTATGTGTGATGTGATTGGTTGCAGAACTACACTTATCATACACTATGTTGTGACAACATGGGGCTGTTGTTGACATAGGGATGGCTTAAAAATGGTTTCCCCCTTTCCAATGAAGTCAAGAAGAGTAAAATTTTAGGTTGGTATCAAAATATGCCCTTGACGGGAGGATGGCAATGAAGTGAGAGGGTATTGTTTGGGTTTTGGAAGAAGTATTCCACTCCTGCCTGCTACCCCATCCCACCCATATCTCTGGCACCATGTGGCATATGTCCAGTAGTGGAGTGACTCTGCAGGTGTCTCAAGGGAGTTGTTCTGGCATATCTGTCATGCTGACTGTGTATCTGGTGTGGCATTACTGCAGTGAGTCTTCCACTAAATTTTAAGCCCATCATCCAACCTAACAGTATTGCATCCGCAGTTCCACACTAGGGTAAACTGTGGATAAACTGTGATAGAAAGTAATGGTGAGTCTGAATTTGACTGGTATTCAGACTTTTAAGTGTAAGCCAAGAAAAAAATTTGTCTGGGCCAGTATGCGTAGCACAAAGAACATCTGCATTTTATCTTGTTCGCCAGATGATGAAATTATTTTGGAAGCCATGAGACATAATAGTGAAGGGGTTGTTGCGCTGTATGTTAACCCACAACATCTCGACTAGAATAGAATAGAATAGAGATTTAACAAACTGAAAGGGCTTTAGAGTGGCAGATTACTTACACGCTACATCACCAGTCTTTCATGTTCTTCAGTCAGGTCACTGAAGCAAAAGGGAAATAAATCCAGAAGAATATGTGTTCTGCAGAAGGGCCTCCATATATTTTAAAATTTGAGCTTTTTCTTTAAAAAAAATAAAATTTCAAGGAATATTATACATCAAATGGACATAATAATGTATAGCTGAATAGATAAAATTGTTACAGCTGCTACTGCTGCTGCGAATGTTATTTTTATTAATTTAAATCATTTGAATACTGTCTCTCCTCCCACCACACTCTATTATCAGGGTTCTCCTGCCCCCCAAGTCCATGGGGGGGGGGCAAAGAGGGAGGAGACTGAAGAAAGCTTTGTTGTCCTGTGAGAGCCTTTGCACTGGCTTCTGCTAGAGGGACTTATCAGCTGAATCCTGCACTTCACAAAAATGGTTTTAGTTGATATCTGAAACATGAAAATGTGCATATACATTGAGCCCCTAAATGACATGGACAAAAGGCCTTTTGGGGGACGAGTGTCATCAGGCCTTAGGGACACAGGACTCTGCCCTGCACGGAGACAGATGGCTAGTATATCTAGCTCAGTATAAGCTACTCTACATAGACTGCTAGTAGCTCTCTAGGGTTTCAGACAGGAGTCTTTTCTCAGTCCTACCTTGAGGTGCCAGGGAACAAACGTAGCCCTTGAACGGTGGGGTTGCCTTATTTCAAAAAGTGAAAATCAAGTCAAAAAATTTGTTAGCAAAGTTGTTGAGCTTTTTTGAGGGACAAATCCTGGCTATTTCTGGGAAATCGCAGACATATAGCAGCCCTATGAATGTTAGGGAAGGCCTTCAATGTGGTGCAGGTCTGATTGTCAGTCATCTGATACCACACTGGGTATCTCTAGAAATGCACAACAAACTTTGGGCTGTTCCTGACTCCAAGATGGGGCATGCTGGATTCTGGACCTGACCACCAAGGCATTTTGGTTTTGGCTCTGCCAAAATAACCTGGACTGGGAATGTGAGTTTTCATCCAGCCTGACTTTTGCCACAAATGTACATTCAAGTATTAGAAGCCAGCTAATCTTACGTTAGTGTAAATCACCATGCCTCCCTTTCCACTGATTTTGTAATCTGTTTACAAAATGAAAACTGTGTCAAAAAGGATTTGGCATCAAGAGAAAATGGCGGTAAATCTTTGAAACAAAATCCTTATAAAATCCCTATACAATGTAGAATTGTAGGAGTCTAGCAACATATACACACATTCTACTCTCCACCCCCTGGAGTTTCATGCATTTATTTTAGACATTAATTTGTTAGATTAATGTTGTAGTTCAGTGGCTGTCAGTATGATAACTAGACTGAGAAATAATGTATATTGGGGTTATTATTTCATTCTCAGTAGGTCTATAAGACCCTCAGATTTATAAATACTTATATGTTCAGAGACTGGATAGGTCCTAGGATTTTATTATATGTATATATTGTTTCTGTTACACCTTATTCCATAATTAGAATTATCTCTTAGAAGTATGTTACCTATTCTGTGCATTTGTATTCATATCTGTATCAGTTTTTGCAAAGCCATAAACTGAATATGATCTAATAAATAAACAGTTCCCCCTCTGGCTGTAAAGGCAGCACATTCTGATCGCATCCATGCTACTTGCTATTCTAACCCAACAGGTTACTTTTTTCAGTCATGTGTGCATTACTGCAGTGTTGCAACTGCAAAGTGGTAAACTTTCTCTACTGTTCTTCACCTGATGAACAGATTTGCTTCTGACTGAGCGTACATTTTTCAGAGATAGTCAGAGCAGAATACATTTCTTTGAGACCATTCCATTTATTTTCAGTTTAAAAGCATGAGAACCGCACTGTCTGGTATGAATGAAAAGTTACTTTAGAACATCGGATGGTATCCAATGATTTTTTCCTGTTAGCACAAAGACTTCTGCCTGCACAAGTTCCCCACCCACCCCCAAATCTGTTATGGGGGATCCCCCAGCCTTCCGGATGAGAACGCTGGGCATTGGAGGCGCACAGGGAGAAGAGAGAAAGAAGGTCCCATTTGCAGGCAGAAGGCTTGCATGCAATCCACTGAGATTATACATTGTGATATTATGCATTTTATGGCCTATGAGGCAGAAGAGGAAATGTTTCCAGGCACTGAAAATAATAGTAAATGTACTGAGTGAAGAGATTACAACAATCTACTCTGTACAAGTAATCACAGGAATTTCTCGGGTGTGGAATGAAGGACTTTGTACAGAGAGTACCTTGCCTGGTTTATTGGTCTGTTGAGCTGTGCTTCATCTAAAGTTACTGTTTTACGCTGCAATCCTTGCATTCAGTAAGCCCCACTGAATGCAGTAGGATTTGTTTCTGAATAGACATGACTGGGATTTCCTTGTTAGTTGAAGACAGTAAGTTGTCTTGGAAAAGTGGTTATTCATTAATAAGAATATGAATCTAGCTGCCTTGAATAGACATAATATCAGAAGAACTCTTGCCCAGATAATATTGAGACATGTCTACATCTGTGGCTTAATGCCTGAGCAGCAGTTCACTGACCTACAAGAAATCAAATATGCACCCAGTTGCCCACCAGTGGTTCATCACATGCCCTAGTGATTTCAAACTGTAGAATTCCTAATCCCCATGGACCTATAGGTGTAATTATGTTGTTAGCTTTGCCACTTATTACTTTGACTACTGACAAAATATGGGACGCGGGTGGCGCTGTGGGTTAAACCACAGAGCCTAGGACTTGCCAATCAGAAGGTCAGCAGTTCAAATCCCCGTGACGGGGTGAGCTCCCGTTGCTCAGTCCCTGCTCCTGCTAAGCTAGCAGTTCAAAAGCACGTCAAAGTGCAAGTAGATAAATAGGTACCGCTCCAGTGGGAAGGTAAACGGCGTTTCCATGCGCTGCTCTGGTTCACCAAAAGTGGCTTATTCATGCTGGCCACATGATCCGGAAGCTGTACACCAGGTCCCTCGGCCAATAAAGCGAGATGAGCACCGCAACCCCAGAGTCGGCCACGACTGGACCTAATGGTCAGGGGTCCCTTTACCTTTACCTTTACTGACAAAATGCATTCAGGGAGACCAGGTGGATATAGTAGAAGATATTGCTGTATTACTAGACTAAATGAAGTGAAAGCATATTTGGTTACATCAGAGTTCAAGAACTTTGCATCATATCAACATGTGCAGCTTTTTAAGTAGCACACCTGATTCTGTATCCTTGTGAAGAAGCACATTCATGGAAATCATGGAAGTTTTCAGATCTTCCCTGGGACAGAGATGCATTTGCGGCCCCTTTTAAATTAAATCTGAATGTCGTTTAAGAGATGGGTAATGTCAAAAGCAGCTGTGAATGCAAGTATTTATAAGCATTTCCATCTGACTGGAAGATAGAATTGTTGACTGGTCAGCATTTCGTGTCTCATGTGCTTTGTAAGGCCACAATGCCTAGTACATAGTCCCCTCTGGTGGAGACTCAGAAATATTACAGCACTAATAATCTTGCAGCTGGAAAAAGCATTATGCAAACCTTGAATATTACCGTTTTAGTTTGAGAACAGAGGGTAAGATCAGCTGTGCTAGCTAATGATAAATAAGGATATCATAGACATAGGAACAGAATGAGGAAGCTGCCTCAGCCAGTAGATGTGGGCGCGGTCAGCAGCCGTACTCCTTCTGTTTCTCCTGAGCTCCCTAGTTCACTGGTTTTCAACCAGTGTGCTGCAGCACCCTGGGGTGCCTTGAATGATGGTCAGGGGTGCTGCGGGCAACACTGGCCCCTGCCCCTCTTTCCTTCCTCCTCTGACTGCCCTAGTCATTCCCCTCTGTTGTACAAAAGAGCTCTGCTTACCCCATGGCCTGTCCTGAGCCTTTAACCAGCTTGCCTCAGGTGTAATGAAGAATGCTATTGTACTGCCAGAGTTTTAAAGAAGATCAAGCTGCCATTCCAGCTGGTTTTTGCATGTAGAATGGGAAGGAGGTATAATACTGCCTTTCACTTCAAGTAACCAAAAGCCACTGTCACAGGCTAGTCCTTTGTAGGGACACATGATTAGGCAATGTTTCATGTACAATAGACACCACGGTGCTGCATCGTTACTCTCTGATGTTCCCTTCAGCAAAGTGAGGACAATTATCAGCTGCACTGAACCTGATTTGCAGGGCTGGCTCACCCATGAGGCAAGGTGAGGCGACCGCCTCAGGCAGCAGAATCCCCATGGGCAGCAGATCCAGCCTCCAAGGCGTGCATTTGCCTGCTCCTGCTGCCACAGTGGCAGCAACTGTTTTATTGTGCTTTTTATATGTTGGAAGGAGCCCAGAGTGGCTGGGCAACCCAGGCAATTGGGTGGGATATAAATATTGTTGTTACAGGATGCCCTTATTTTCATCAGAGAAATGTTGGAGGGCATGAAAACTGTTATAATAGGATTGCAATAGGTAGAAGGCCACTGTGGCTTGTATATTTCTGCACATTTTAAAATTAGGATTTCAGTTGCAAAAAGTGAATTAAGTAATTAACAGAAATCTAGATGGATGCTGCCTTGTTGATGATTAGTAGACATTGTTCCCACCCCTTATTTCATTCATATTCTGTGTTACTATGGGCAATATCTCCAGTCAAGGTGAAAGTCTCATCATCTCAGCAAGATTTGCATGTATTTCCCTTTATTATCTAAATGATACTAAATAATCATATCTGGAACCATGTATTCTGGGCACGCATGCCAACAAATATATAAAGTGACATCATTAACTCATTTCCTCCTTATCTCCTAATACAGCAACAACTACTCAGTTTGAGCCATGTGATCCTTCATGCCAAACCTGTGAGAAAACTGCCAGCACATGCACTTCATGTCCCCAAGGTAACAGCATTTATCTTCTTTGTTGCTACACATTGCCATTATCAAGAGGTTTTCGTATATTCTCATAGATTTCAGCTAATGCTAGAAAAAAATGTTATAGGCTTTATGCATGAGTGGAGAACATACAGTTAAGAATTCATTAAAACATAACAGTATTTACTTACTTACTTACTTATTTACTTACTTACTTACAAAAAAGCATCCTAACTCTCATTCCACCTTTTTCTGCATTGTAATGGAAACTCTACATTAATTCCTGAATTAGTTGGAATTTCCAAAATGTCATGCAAATGTCTTTCAAAACATACTTTGCCTGTTTCATTATTTTCAGAGAGATTTCTTTTTGGCAAGTCTTGTATCCGCACTTGCCCACGAGGAACTTTGGGAAATGTGAAGACAAGACGTTGTGAGTGTCACTCCGATGCAGACATGCCACGCTATTTGCACAAAGGCAAATGCTTGCAGGAGTGTCCCAAGTACGTTTCTATTTATATTAATCTGTGCAGACATGCAGCTTTCCTTTACATACTTCTATGTTGTTCTCACCTCTGTATTTTCTGTGACACAAAATGGATCTAATCCTTCTGGATGTAGAAAGCTGCATAAAGACCTGAATGCTTCAGAACAATTGCCAATTTGCAAATGAGGGTGCTGAGAAATGCACTGCGGTTTTACTCACAGTGACCCCTCCCCAGGAAGCAAGGCCTAGTCCATAGGTGCCAGCTCTGCAGGGCTGACACACGGCAGGGTCAAGCGTGGGATTCAGGTTCCATCACAAGACACAGGTCTACACAGATGTCCCTTCCACCTAGACCCCTCTGTGCCCGCGTAGTTCCGAGGTGGGGGTGAGGCACCACTTCACCCCCCATGAAATGTTAGACTAAGGATTCCACCCAATGCCTTATCCACCAAAGTTGTGACTACTGCTATGGGGAAGGCAAAACCTGCAAATGGGACCAATCTGTTTTCACCGAATATGGCAACTATTATAGAACCACAGCAAATCCAGTAATCACATAACCTTAGAGGGAAGAAATGTTAATATACAACAAGCCCCAAAGTGTACTTATGAAGGTGGGGTGGGAGGATGTGCTCTTGGCCGACTGTGGTCCCAAGGATAGGGGGGACATACTGCCTTTTTATAGCCCGGGGGTGGGTCAGAGTGAAGCCTGCTCCCAAGCCCCACCCCCTTGGACTGGCTTGGTTGGTCAGAATTCAAACGGGGCCTGGCGGAAACTCCTGCCCTTCCCATTGGCTGGCATGGGGATTTTCTAACTGCCAGCTGCCCAGCCCAGCATTGCTCCGAGGGGTCAGGACCTGATGCAATGGGCCACAACTGCCGTCCACCCCAGGACTGGGTAAGCAACCATTTCCTTCCTCAGTCTTTCCATCAACAGTGTTGTGGGTTTTTTTAATGTAATGGATACACTCCCAATGGAATACACTGTATTAAAAACAGTTTATTATTATTATTATTGTTGTTGTTGTTATTGTTTCAACATACATATAGATAAATAATGAAATATCTCATCCTAACCCAGAAGCTAATGTTTACACGACACATGCATAATTACAGCCAAATGACATTTTATACGAAACTACTATTTGTACAGCAGGTTAAACAGTTAAACAGTTAAAGTTCAGTTTTATAATGTGAGTGGAGTCCTCTATTTCCTTTTTTTAGCTGTGCCATTCAACTGCAAATGAGTCCTTGTGCTTCAGGCCTTGTGTGGATAGGATTGCAGCCATAGAGTCCTATAGGCTGCATAATACTGTATATTAGTGGAGAAAATATGACCTGACACCTCAAGATCTAAGGCCATATGGTGCACAAAGCCATGTCTACTGTGAACGCTTTCTTAAAGGCCACAGCTCACCCAAACAGCCTTTTCTAATTCTCTGAGCATTTACAGCATGTTCTGTTGCTTGATCTTTTTTTATTCTTTGCTTCTACTTTAGGGGCTTTTTCACTAAAGACGGGGCCTGCAGAGAGTGCGACAGCCCTTGTAAAACGTGTGAAGGAAATGCCTCCAGATGTCTGTCCTGTGAAAGTCCTTTTCTCCTAGAACAAACAGAATGTAAACTTGCCTGCTCAGAGAACCACTTTGCTGATGATGGCATTTGTAGAGATTGCCCTGAGATGTGTCAGGAATGCATTATCAAGAGCTCATGTAAAGGTACTACAGAGAATCAGCAGTATGGCTCTGACCCAGGTCGTTAAATGAATGCCTATTTAGAAATGCAGGGGGGCGTGCTTAATACTCTTCCATTTTGGTGTTTTGAGACAAAACCAAAAGCATGGGAAGAATGTGCTGGGAGAAATAGATTGGTGCTTACTGAGGTCTGACATATTTCTGCCCTGTGGACTTTGCAGTACATTCTGATCTAGAATCTCCCTGGACAGCTATTCCTAGCTAGCATATCTGTGTGGGGTCCACCCAAGAGCCAAGCGGCTTGTGTAAATTTGGTGCCTCACATCAATACTGCAAAGACTTTTACAAAAACATGCAGATATGACTAGAGCTTTGGATCATGCCACTCTAATATAGTCTGAAAGGAAATGGCTGTATTCTGATTAGGGAGGGGTGAGAGCCTGTCGACTTAAGCGGCAGATAGCAAGAAGAGAAGAGCTCTTGCTGAGACATGGCTGTGGCAATGGTTTTTAGTTTTGTTGCAGCCAGCAAAATGTAGGACAGAGGAAGGGGAGAGTTCATAGCACATTCAAGAGCACACTGTGCTATTTTGTATTCTTTTGCATATCCTGATATATTCTCCTCTTTCTCAAAAGTGTGCATTCCACCATTTCACCTGCACAACGGGAATTGTTTACGTTATTGCCCACCTGATTTCTTTGCTGGCTCCAACCGCTGTTTCCCCTGCCATAAAGACTGCAAACAATGTGATGGACCAGATCCCAATGACTGCACTGATTGTTCAGAGGAATTGTATCTATACAATGGTGAATGTTTTTCTAATTGTCCAGATGGCACTTATTATGAAGAAGAGACTGACATCTGTAAAGGTATGTTTTTCAATTCAGAGGCAGAGGTCAGAAGTCATTTTGATCAGTAATTCCCTGCCAGAAGACATCGATGTTCCACTGGTATGGATGCAACAAATTAACTAATTAAAGGCTTATTTGTCGTCATCGCCCCCCTCCCCACATGCACACACACTTCTTATAGGCAAGTTTACCCCAGAGGTGGGGGTTGCTTGACGTATGAGCCAATCATGGACCCCCAGTGGTGTCCAATTTGGTCCCTAAAGCAATTTCCCCCCAAACCACAACCACCTATCAATCAGTTGGTGTTAATTCTGTGTTGGCTGTGGATGCCTGTTCTTAGTACAGTGCCCACCCAATAAATGTAACATGATCCATGGTACAGCATGCATTCTGTGAAAAAGACAGATATGGATGCAGAAACAGTTGCAATAGAGACATAGGTAAAGCTAGAGATTGACAGTTAACTGTATAAATAGACTAAAAGGAGCCAGGTAGCCATCTGGGACTTGTAAGAGCCTTGAACAAATAGTTGTGATTCTTCACATTTCAGACTGTGACAGGACATGTCAGACCTGTTCTTCTTCCACTGACTGCCTTACCTGTGCAGAAGGTCTGTTGATGACTACTTCAGGCCTTTGTGAGATGCCCCAAGGCTGTTCCAGCACTGAGTTCTATGATGGATACACCAAAGCATGCAGCCCTTGTCACAGGAAGTGTTTGGAATGTACAGGCCCTGCCGAAGATCAGTGTTTCAGCTGTCCCCAAGATACGCTTCTTCTCAGTAAGCATTGCCCCTTTCCCAAGGTTGTATCCTTCTTTGTCATCTTCTGTTTCTTTGTCTTCTGTATTTAAGTTATTCTGTGAATGACTCAAATCACGTAAACACAAAAGTAAGCAACTTGCACAGAGCTGTCTAATCAATTCAAGGAGATTGGGAAACATGCAAAGTGGGCAGGTGCTCTGGATCAGATCATGAGAGTCTCAAACCTTCTGCTAATGGGAATCTTCCAGTAGAGTTTATCTAGGGAATTGACTTTTCCAAACCAGTTACTCCTTGCACCTTAACACCAGCTTGCCACTGACATTCATGTGATAGTGCCTGGCAACTCCGCCATAGGATTTCCATAACCTTTTCCTGAGTTACAAGTGAAAATGAGAAAGAATTGGTTTTTGTAAGACTCTTTCAGTATCCCCAAGCACAGTTGAGTTGATGTTTCTTATTGCAGTGCAAAAAGGGAATGCTGCCTGTCTGTAATTTGGTGCTGTTCTCTCTGCAGATGGAACCTGTGTTGAAGTCTGTCCAGATGGATATTATATGGACAGGGATGAAGGCCAATGCCACACTTGCCACAGGACTTGTGAGACTTGCAATGGGAAGCACAGCAGACAGTGCCTGTCCTGCCCACCAGGCTGGTACAAGCAAGAAAAGGGATGTGTATCAATTTGTACAACTGGGTAAGACATTAGATCTCAAGTTAAAAAGCTCTATTGGATACAGTGGCGTAGCGTGGGTTGTCAGCACCCGGGGCAAGGCAAGTAATTTGCGCCCCCTAACCCGTGGATTTGCGCCCCCTAACCCATGGATTTGCCCTAACCCCAGATGTTGCGCCCGGTGCGGCTGCCCCCCCTGCACCCCCCACGCTACGCCACTGATTGGATAGGAGCTATGCTAAACTGTAACATAATTCCCTTAGAATTGAGGAGTGTAGCCTGAGGATGTTCTGGCATACTGAATCTAAATGATCGTTAATGTTCCTATCAACTAACACCCAAGAGGAAAGGGGAAGATATTTTTACCAATATTTACTAATATTGCAACTTCCCGAAAAGAAGGTTTAGTTTATAAGTTGGAACTCTTTCAGAACTGCTGGCTGTAGCATAACAGTGAATGCCAAGATAGTGAGACTAAATTTATGAGCGATCCTTGCCAAAATGTCAAGGTGCATAGCAATAATACCAAACACACACTCCCTTTTTCTTTTGCGAGATTCCCCTTTCACTCATTTTCATGTTAGAACTTCATGGCTATTACAAAGCACAAACACCCAGCATCTGCTAACAATTCAGATTTTCAAAATGCAAAGAGAATCAAGAGACATTACCCTTTTCTAGAATCCTTGTGTGCTTTGTTCGTCTGTTTCAGGTACTATGCAGACAATTCTACTGGCTCTTGTGAGAGGTGTCACAAAAGTTGCAAGAAGTGTATGGGACCAGAATCTACAGACTGTCTGTCCTGTGATAAAGATTTATTCCTGCTTCACTACAAAAATGAATGTCACATTTCCTGTCCTGAAAATTACTATGCTGATCGTGATGCAGGCAGCTGTGAGCGGTGCCATCCAACCTGCCGTACTTGCAGTGGTAAGATGCCACACTATATGCTTCTGCATTCACAAAGTCCTTTTCTTCTTTGCTGCCTTCACTGCCACTAGGTAGGCTCAATGATGAGCCCTCACCAGTGTTCTATTACATTTGACTGGAGTTTTCTTCCACTTGCATTTGATATGTCTCCCAGCTTGTTTCCTCGCCCTAAGCTCTGAAGTATACTAAACAGGTTCCACGAAGCAGGAGGGGGAGCTCAGGAATGATAGTGTCATCATCAGAGGTCAGATGGGGCTTCACCAGAAAATTCCCCAGAGCCATCTGGAAAACCCATTGGATCCATCAGCTACCAAGGCTGGACCATCTAGTAGGTCCCTAGTAGGTCCCTGCCTCTGCAGAGGGGGAAAGGTGCTGAAAGCCTAAATCTCAACAGAAAGTGATCTGACCACCACAAGGGACTGATGTCAAGTTCCTCCACTTTCAGATCACCCTCTTCCTGCCTAATTAAGAAAACAAGGGCAGAGTGTGGCCTGTCACATGGGCTGATGACATGTTGGGGCAGCCCGATGGTCACTGCGGCAACCATTAAGTCCTCAGCCACCCCAGGACCAGTTGCCTTGGCAATGTTGGCATGGAAGTTGAAGCACCCCAAAGCTATCAGTCTGGGGGTCCTCAGCATTGCCTCTGAGACCAGCTCTGTCAGCAGCAGAATCGCTAATGTATCCTGATTGCCCAAAGCCAGGAACACACACACTAGATTCCCCTGCATGTGGACAGAGAGCCTGGAGGGGGGGGATTTCTACAGAGCACAGCAACTCCCCCTCCCTGGCCCTCAGGTCTGCCCTGATAATAGTACCCAGATAGGTACAGCTGGGTGAGACCAACTCCACCCTGCTCACCCACCCAGGTTTCAGTGATACAGGTCAGACTGGCCTCTTCACCCACAATCAGAACATGGATGAGGGAAGTCTTTCTCAGAGCTAACCTGGCATTCAGCAGCTGCAGACCCGAGGGCTGGCTGATAAGACAACCACAATTCCCAAGTGTAATTATGGAGGGGAAGGGTGTGTGTGTCTGAAACTGATATTGTAATAGTTGAATTATTTAACTGGAGCCTAGACAAGATACCTCTAGAATGGTTTTTGTTTCAAAATCAGCTTAAGCTTTTAGGGATCAAACACTGCAACCTGCTTATTTTACTCTATTTACTTTGTTAATTAAATGAAAAACCACTGGTCTTCAACTGGTGAGTCGGGACACACTACTGTGTTGCTGCCTAATTTAAGGTGCAGCACCAAGAGCAGCACCAGCTTACAAAACAATAAGATGAAATGAGCTCCCGATTATCTGTTTGGCCTAAAGGACTGCAAAGACTGAAGACTACTGAAGTACAAGTTGGGTGGTTTTCTATTACTTACCTTTTTTAAGTGATTTTATTTGTTGTTTTAAGGGAAAGGACCTCTCTTCTGCACATCCTGTGTATGGAGCTACCATTTCGCTGCTGGAATCTGCAACTCAGAATGCTTGCTAGGAGAATACAAAACCTCAGAGGTACTTCATATACACCAACCGACAAAGAAAACAGACACAGACCCCTTCACCGGCATTGTTACCATTAAACTAGTGATTGTGAAACATTTCACCAAGCGATCCATACATTAACTTCCCGTTCTCTCCTTGTTTACAAATTATTACCAGCACCCATTGCGCTGTCATATTTTTTCCTACTCGCTTATTCTCATATATGAAGTAACTAACTGGAGGAGCAAGATTTAGATTTAAGACAGAGGTACATATCCTGTATACAGATAAGGACTTGCTGCATCAATGTCCTTCTAGAAAATATCTAAGTATGACTTAGTTGGCTATCTACAACCCATTGTGAGAAACCATGATCTAAGGTACAGATAAAAAGACTTGCTGAATCATCAATGGAAGAGATCCTTCTGAAGAAACATCTAAGCTATGACTTATGGTTGGCTATCTACAACTGCTGTAAAGAGAGAGACCACATTTAAGGTGACAGCTCTTACGCAGGAGTTCTTCCTAATGTTTAGGTGGAATCTTCTTTCTTGTAGTTTGGATCCATTGCTCCGTGTCCGCTTCTCTGGAGCAGCAGAAAACAACCTTTCTCCCTCCTCTATGTGACATCCTTTTATATATTTGACATCCTATTATATCTTTGTGTCACTAACAAGCAGAACTTGCTGGCCAAATCTTTGCATGCTGAAACAAAATATCAGTTGGTAGAGCATGGGACTCTTAATCTCAGGGTTAAGGGATCGAGCCCCATGTTGGGCAAAAAGATTCTTGCATTGCAGGGTTCCTTCCAGCTCTGTGATTCTGTGATAACAAATAAGAACAGTTATCTCTAGCCTGATCCCATGGTCCAGCTTCCCAAGGTTATCAGGGGCCCTGATCCAGCTACATGCAACACATGCATGTAAATAAGCTTCTGCACAGGTACATACATACATAAATACATACATAATTTTGTTTGTATGCTGCCTTGTCACAGTTCAAACCATGCTCAAAGCAGCTTACAACATGAAAAACACACATAACTACAATGCAACAAAAGTAGTAATAAACAATAAACAAAACATTAAAAAAGCACAACCAAACTGAACAATTTCCACATAAATCACAAGTTCGAAAATAAAGATACAAAAAACAGCAGCAACAACCCCCACCCCAAAAAAGAACCCAAACAACACCGCAGCCCAAGTGTCTGTTCAGCAGCTTCACCTTTGTAGCTGGAGTCAGTCAGGGCTCTGCTCTTCCAAGCCAAATGGGAAAAGGCAGGAGCAGGTCTTGCAGGACTCGCAGTCAAGATGGCATTGCAAGGAATAAGGAACTGGATAAAGAACTGGACAAATAGGTACCGTGTGCATGATTCCCTAGCCCATGCAACAGGCAGAACTACACACATGCAGATTTTTTAAAGGTGAAATATTTCTGATTGGCTATTCAATAGCTGCATTTAGTCCTCCCTGCTCCTTCTTCCTAGCTTTATCAGCAGGATTCTGGCTTTTTTAAAAGGGCTATAGGAAAGCCACCTGGCCTGGTGCATGTACACTTTTTGTTTGGGACCAGACAGTTTCATATTGTATGGTAGGTTTCACCTTATAGAGTCCAAGTCCAAGTTTCTTCCTGTGTTTCTGACTTTAAGGAGCACCCAGCAAGATGTGAAAAATGTCATGACACTTGCATGCAGTGTAAGGGGCCTGGTTCCCTTCAACTGTACAGAATGCCATCTTAACATGGAGATCTACCTGGATGAAAATCGTTGTGTGCCATGCTGTAAGAGTTCTGAACTTGTTGAAACTCAGGAGTGCTGTGACTGCAGTAAAACGCAAGGTAATAATGAGCAGAAAGGGTTGGTGGGAAATGTTTAATGGTCTTGTACACAGTAGCTTCTCCTTCTTCTCTTCCTTCCCGCTCCCCCTCCTGTATCCAAGTCCTGTGAAGAATTGCAGTGTGAAATTAAATCAGCAGACTGCATTGGTAAAATCCAGATTTACCACCTTAGAGGTGCATCTGTTACATGCATTGGTCATAACACAATACTCCTGTGCCCTACTGGTTCTCTTTGTTAATGGACAAAGCTTTGTGTCACAGAGGATTAGCAGCAGACACTACAAATACACCTCAAAATTTATTCAGGTGTTTTATCAATGGGAATTCACCTGGAGATTCTCTAGTGTTGTTTGTTCCTAACTAACTGTGCAATCCTAACTATGCCAACACAAAATTAAGTCCTATTGAGTTAGGGATTACTCCCAAGCAAGCAGGGTTACGATTGTAACCAAAACTAGTATTGGCAGTGGTGGCCTTGTGTGAGTGTGAAGAGAGAAATTCATGTTTATCTCTTTGTGTGCATGAACAAATCAGTTGTTAGTGATGGATTCAAAACTGGATGGAAAAGGTTCTTCATCCTTATCCTAAAATTTATTTCCACTTTTAAAAACGCGTGTGCATGCATATGTGCTTGTGTGTATATATGTGTATATATATGAAGGCTTTGTTTTTCAGATGAATGTATATTACGCATCGCTAACTTGCCAGAGGGACTGAGAGGCAAAGCTGCAGCTTTGGTTGTTGCCGTACTCATTTTCTTGCTCCTTGCCATTGGAGTTCCTGTTTTCATATGGAGAAGATCACAGGCCAAGCCCAAGCCAGTAAAGCAAGGTGGATATGAAAAGCTGGGAGATAATGCAAAGGCTCTTGCCTCTCTCAAAAGCAACCACTACCAGGGCACCAGTTATTATGAAGATCAAGTGATTGAATACAAGGACCGGGAGGAAGATGATGATGACGACGATGACGATGATATTGTTTATATGGGCCAAGATGGCACAGTCTATCGCAAATTTAAATATGGACTTCTAGAAGATGATGAAGTAGATGAACTGGAGTATGATGATGAAAGTTACTCCTTTAGATAACCTTTAGATTATGTGTCACTTTGTCTTTCCTGCACACTCAGAATCTCACCTGAATGGTACAGACAGCCATTTACAATAGATATATTTGCAACCATTGTATGTGAGTGTGGGTGGATGTGGAATACTTACTGCTTTGAAGGAGGAGATGGCATTCAGCTTATCAAGTAATTATGTGTATACTACCCTAAATTAGCACCTTGGTAAATGGCTGTCTATATCCACACAGAATTTTTTCAAATATAGTTTGAATATAATATAATTGCTTCCTCCTGTTCTCTTATTATTATATTATATTGTCCCTAAGGCTCATGATACATTTCTAGTACACGAAACACCTGAGCTGAATGTCCAACTTATAGTCCTCTTTAATTAAGAAGCATGGAACAAAATGACTTGGTGTCTTCTTAATTTGACATATCTTTATTCACTTCACTGTTAGTCCACTTATTTTGTGTGACACAATGCTAAAAAGAGTTGGAACGGGTTACAAGGGTTCAGAGCTCCATATGCAACTGGCAGACTGGCAACCTCATTCACACACAATGGGATTTCACATAAAGAACCCTGGCAGCAGAACCCCTGGTCAAAGGCTTCCATGTGCTCAACAAGGCTTCCTTCCCTTCTCTGACTATGTGCCCCATTGTCCCCTGAAATTCCCTGTCGTGCTCGGGAGAATACCCAGAACAGTGGGGAAGGAGGAATCATTCCATCTGGCAAGCTGATATGCTTCTGCAGATGGGACATTCAACATAGCACAACATTGAATTCCATCCAATAAATATGCATGCTTCAATGCAATATAAGGTTCAGCTTCCCCACCCACAGCCTGTTTTGTTGGGAATATTGGGGTTTAGATTCGATAATGCGTTGCTCTTATGCAGCCCCTACATAACCGTGGCCATGACTTGATATGGCACCAACAGACATGACAGGAACACCCATTCCTCTCCTTCCTGCTGCTTCCTGGGCCCTCCAATCTGCTCCAGGAGCCCCCCCCCCCCGCAACCCTCCGGGACAGTCTGGAGGAGGGGAGGGAGGCCTTACATGTGGGTGTCACTCTATGGCTCTATCTTTTGGGTTATTCCACATGAGTCAAAAGTCATCCCATTCATCCCGCTATGATACAAATGTAAAAGAAACAGGTCAGACAAAAGTTCCAATTCATACATGCATGTTCCTAATTTGATGGCTGGTGTCACTAATCTGCAGCACAGACAAAGCTTTCAGGCCACTTCCTGCTATTTCACTTTTAATTGAGATGAAGTAGAATACATTCATCTGGGTGTATCTGAAGAAGTGTGCATGCACATGAAAGCTCATACCAAGAACTAACTTAGTTGGTCTTTAAGGTGCTACTGGAAGGAATTTTTTTGTTTTGACTATGGCAGACCAACACGGCTACCTATCTGTAACTAAATTCATCTGGGAGTCATCAAGCAATTACACACAAGTATGTTAATCATGCCATTAGCCCCAAATATCTTGCCAATCTGTTAAATTATGTACTGTTATTAAGAGAGATGTATTTATATTTAAATAGTTAACCATACTGGAATGAGCTTTCATGATATTACTTGCTGCGGTGGATTATAGTTTGCACTGAAATTCATTTTGTGATGGATTTATCTCTCACTAGTCTCCATTTTCAGGGTATATTGCCACCAAATTTATTAGGTCTCTCGGCTTTTTAATGTTTCCTAGTATGCATTAAAGTGCATTTCTCATGGAAGTTGCTGCAAATACCATTCTGTGTAAATGTTCATTTTTATTTATTAAATTTGTATAATGTCCTTCATCTGTAGATCTCTGGGTGGTTCACAACATAAAAATACAAGATAAAAACACAAAATAGATTAAAAAAATACAAGAACAAAATAAAAAACAAAGCACGAACACATTTAAAAGGGCATCAGCATACCCTCCAACATTTCTCTGATGAAAATAGGGACATCCCATTCCATAAAGATAATCTTACCATTTATACCCCACACATCTTACTGGGTTGCCCCAGCCACTCTGGGCAGCTTCCAACATATATAACAGGATTGCCTTCAAACGGCTCGGCGTCAGATAACTCCATACCCTCCAATATTTCTCCAATGAAAATAGAGACATCGTAAGGAAAAGTGGGACATTCTGGGATCAAATGAGAAATCGGATGGCTTCTTTAAATCAGGGACACCCTGGAAAGTAGGGACTCTTAGAGAGTCTGCATCAGGTGTCAATCAGCCAAAGGCCTGGCTAAAGAGGAACATTTTCGCCTGGCACCTGAAGGTATAAGAGTTTGGATTTGATATCCCACTTTATCACTACCCGAAGGAGTCTCAAAGCGGCTCACAGTCTCCTTTCCCTTCCTCCCCTACAACAAACACTCTGTGGGGTGAGACTGAGAGACTTCAGAGAAGTGTGACTGGCCCAAGGTCACCCAGCAGCTGCAGGTGGAAGAGCAGGGAATCGAACCCTGTTCACCAGATTACGAGTCTACCGCTCCTAACCACTACACCACATGGGTACATAATGTAGGCACCAGCCAAATCTCCCTGGGGAGAGCATTCCACAAATGGGGAGCCACTGCAGAAAAGGCCTGTTCTTGTGTTGCTCCCCTCTGGGCCTCTTGTGGAGGAGGCACACAGAGAAGTGCCTCTGTTGATGATTGCAGGGTCCAGGTAGGTTCATATGGGAAGAGGCAGTCTTTGAGGTATTGTGGTCCTGAGCCATTTAAGTCTTTATAAGTCAAAACCAGCACTTGGAATTGGGCCCAGGAACTAATTGGTAGCCAGTGCAGTTGGGACAGAATTGGCATTATATGCTCAACCCATCTTGCCCCTGTGATCAGCCTGGCTGCCAAATTCTGCACCAGTTGAAGTTTCCAAAGCATCTGCAAAGGCAGCCCTACATACAATGTGTTGAAATAACCTAACCTGGAAGTTTCTGCCCATGTCTGCCACAAATGGAACAAAGCTAACGTTACAATAAATCTAATTTTTTTTGCATAACTCTTGAAACACTCTGATATTGGAAATTATGTATTTGATTGTTTCCCAGGCTACAGACTGGCACACTTCATCTGGGGAAAAACCTTATAAATTGGACAAAAAGTACTGTCTTTTGGTTCCTTAAAAGATTGTGCAGAACTGGTTGTTTTTTAATGGCACTTAAATGCAAGGGAAGGGACGCGGGTGGCGCTGTGGGTAAAACCTCAGCGCCTAGGACTTGTCGATCACATGGTCGGCGGTTCGAATCCCCGCGGCGAGGTGAGGCTCCCGTCGTTCGGTCCCAGCTCCTGCCCACCTAGCAGTTCGAAAGCACTCTTAAGTGCAAGTAGATAAATAGGTACCACTTTATAGCGGGAAGGTAAACAGCATTTCCGTATGCTGCTCTGGTGCCAGTTCGCCGGAGCAGCTTCATCACGCTGGCCACGTGACCCGGAAGTGTCTGCGGACAGCGCTGGCTCCCGGCCTCTAGAGCGAGATGAGCACGCAACCCCAGAGTCAGACACGACTGGCCCGTACGGGCAGGGGTACCTTTACCTTTTTTAATGCAAGGGAATTAATCGTTCCACTTCTCTTATTAATTGTATGGCTCATGATGATAGGAAGAGGAGTGCCTAACATTGCACCAAAACATAAATTAAATGAATGGAATGCAAAAATGAAACAGTATCATTAAGGAATGCAAGATTTGTTCACTTGTAATTCAAGCACTAAACCTGTCATGCCTATGACAGCAGATTAAAAAAATATTTATATAGAAGTATGCTGATTAGATTGTATTGTAAGCATTACACAGTTCAACTAAAAACATTTGTGTATTATACTAAAACTGGAGGGAAGAAAAAGTACCCATATTTACAATTTATTTTGCACTGAAAGAACGCAGAAGGATGCAGTCTTGCAGGACAGAGAGATTACTTGAATCCCTCACTCTGTATCAGAATTGTCTTTTTATTTCTTAATCAAAACAATGCTTATTATGAGACATTTTGATATCAATACAAGATGCCTAGAGTACAGAATACCTATATGACTATGGGGTTGGATCCAGACTTTGTATTCAGAAAAAAATCCTCAATTGCGTTGCTGACAATTTCATTTTCCAGAAGGTGGAAGAAACAAGAGGATCATCTATCTTAGACCTGGTCCTCATCAACACGGAGGAACTGACTGTCAAAGTGGAAGTGTTGGGAACCTTCTGCATTTCATGATACAGAGGAAAGGGAAAGCCGAGTGTAGTCAGACAGGCACTCTGGAAGGCCAATTTCTAAAAGCTTAACAAGCTACTGGGGGAGATCCCATGGCCAGAAATACTCTGGGAGAAGGGAGTCCAAGATGGATGGGAGTCTCTTAAAGGTGAAATATTGAAGACCCAAATGCCAACAAGAAAAGAGGGGGGCATCTAAGGAAGCTGGTGTAGTTGCATATGGAGCTTACAGATGAGCTAAGATTTAAGAAGGGCGTGTGTAAGAAATGGAAGAAAGGGGAAATCACAAAGGAGTATACACAAGTAGCCAACAGTTGTAGGGTGAAAGTCAGGCAGGCTAAAGTTCAGAATGAGCTCAGGCTTACAAGACAGGTTAAAAATAGTTTTAAAAGGTTTATTCAGCTATGTTCAAAGCAAGAGGAAGAGCAAACAAGTGGTAAGGTGCATTGTGTGGAGACGATGGCTATTTGGTGACAAAGAGAAGGTGGAACTACTCAACACCTCCTTTGCCTCTGGTCTTCACCCAAAAGGAAAGGGATGCCCAACCTGGTGATAACAGGATAAATGATGTAAAGAGGAACCTGCAGCCCAAGATAGGAAGAGAGGAGGTAAGCAAACACCTGCCTGCTTTAAACAGGAGGAGATATAATAGCCATCTTCCAATAACTCAAGGGCTGTCGCATGGAAGAGGCAGCAAATCTGTTTTCTCCTGCTCTGGAAGGTAGGACTTGAACCAATGGCTTCAAATGACAAGAAAGGAGATTCCAACTAAACATCAGAAAGACCTTTCTGATGGTAAGAGCTGTTTGACAGTGGAATAGACTCCCTTGGAAGGTGGTGGATTTTCCTTCATTAGAGGATTTTAAGCAGAGGTTGGGTGGCCATCTGTCCTGGAATCTTCAGTTGAGATTCCTGCACTGCAGGGGGTTGGGCTAGGTTACTTTTGGGGTTCCTTTCTGCAACACCCTCCTTGTAAATAGCTTTAAGTAATCATTACTATTTCTAAGCAGACAATGAAAATAAATGGCTTGTTTAAACAAATAGTTTACTGCAGAATAT